TTGATGTTCAGAAACACAGGGCAGTACATGCCATGCAGAGTAGACCTAAATATCATGTAAGAGAAATTTGTCTCATCATGAAATAGTGAAAAAAAAATACCAAACATCAAGAATATGAGTTCTTTATAATAAGTAGTAAAACTAAGTTTTCAGCCTCTGTTGGATATTGTGCTTTAGAAGAATTATCTCATCTGTTTCTCAAGTAATTCTGTGGGCAAGAAACCATATTATGTCCATTTGGGGATTCAGAGAGGTTAAGCAATTAGGCTGAAGTCACATGGATAGCAGGTGATGCACTCAGAATTCCAATCCCAGCAGCTAAACTCCAGGGTTCTTACTTTAAAGACACGTTATGTTAACACATGTTATGTTAACTCCTCCTCCCTCTCAAAAGTTTGGGAAAGGAGCTGGTAAACTTTCTTCTGGAACTGAGCATAAGTTGCCTACTACCACAGTTTGGCTTAGTGCTTGTGATCTGAGAAACATTTAGAGTTCTGCTGCACAGAGGTACCCTGTTCTGTCAGGAATCCAGACATCTGTCTCCTAATAGAGAAGCCATTCTTAGCTGCATTTGGGCATGGGGCTCTTGAGAATCCCAATGCCCAGTTCACGCCCCAGTTAGATTACACAAGAATGCCTGGGGTTGGGAGAGGCAGAACCTACGCATCAGTATTTTTAAAATATTCTCTGGTGATTCCAATGTGCTGCCAATATTGAGAATCACTAACTTAGTAAAACATCAGGCAACATCAAGCAAATTAAGAAGCTTCTTTTTATGAGTGGCAGAGCTATCCCCCAATCTCTAAAGTCATAGTATTAAGTAATCAAATTCATGATCTTCCTCTATAACAAGTAAGCTAGGGAGAAACCTGCCTCACAGTATCCAAAATTGTACATGGCTGTAAAAAATATAATTTTGATCTTGAAATCCAGAAGACATGGGTTTGGGTTCTGTCTTGCTCTGTTTAGGCTACTGCGAGGAAATAACATAAACTGGGTAGCTTATAAACAACAGAGATGGATTTCTCAGACTTCTGAAGACTGGGAAGCCCAAGATCAAGGCGCCAGCAGATTTCCAGCCTGATGAGGGCCCACTTTCTGACTCATAGATGGTGCTTTCTTGCTGTGTCCTCACACAGTGGAAGGGACAAAAAGGGCATTAATCTCATTTATGAGGGCTCTGCCCTCATGACCTAACCACTTCCAAAAAGCCCCACCTCCAAATACTATCACATTGGTGATTGGTTTCAACATTTAGTTTTGGAGGGACGCAAACAAATAGAACATAGCAGGTTCCATCACTCTGTCATGTGCTAGCTGTGTGACTTTTTAAAATTACAGCAAAATACACATAACCCAAAATTTACCATCTTAACTATTTTAAATGTACAGTTCAGTGGTATTAATTACATTCACATTTTTGTGCAACCATCACCACCTTCCATCTCTAGAACTGTTTTTATCTACAAAATTGAAACTCTATATCTATTAAACAACCCCCTATTTTCCTCTCTCCAGCCCCTTACAACCATTATTCTACTTTCTGTCTCCAGGAGTTTGACTACTATAGGTTTCTCATATAAGGAGAATCATGCAGTATTTGACCTTTTGTGACTGGCTTATTTCACTTAGCATGATGTCTTCAAGTTTTATCTATGTTGTAGCATATGTCATAATTTTCTTCCTTTTTAAGGCTGCATAATATTCCATTATTTTCATACACTGTATTTTGTTAATCTATTCATCTATTGATGGGCATTTAAGTTGCTTCCACATTTTGACTGTCGTGAATAATGCTGCTATGAACATGAGTGTACAAATACCTCCCTGAGACCCTATTCTTAATTATTTTATATATATATTCAGAAGTAGAATTATTGGATCATGAGCTGTGTGATTTTAGGCTATTCATTTAAATCTCTCTGAGCATCTATTTCCTCATCTGTAAAATGTATGTTTATTAAACATGGTTCTAGGTAATAGGAATACCACAATGAACAAGACAGGCAAGTTTCCTGTCTGGAAGAAACAATTTCTACTTCCAGGTACCATAACATGAATGAGATGATTGAGGTTTTCTGACTTTCACTGAAGATTTGACCCAGAAAGGTTTGATCTTCTCACTAGGGGTTAAGGACTTTTGTATCAAGAAACAAAAAGTAGTTCAACTGGGAGTTTAAGAGTAATGAGGCCAGGTGTGGTGGCTCATGCCTGTAATCCCAGCACTTTCAGAGGCTAAGGCAGGTGGATCACCTGAGTTGCCTGAATTCAGGGGTTTGAGACTAGCCTGGCCACCCCGGTCAACACGGTGAAACCCCATCTCTACTAAAAATATAAAAAAGTTCACCAGGCGTGGTGGTGGGCACCTGCAATCCCAGCTACTTAAGAGGCTGAGACAGGAGAATTGCTTGATACTGGGAGGCAGAGGTTGCAGTGAGCCAAGATTGCACCATTGTACTCTCTAGCCTGTGCAACAAGAGTGAAACTCCATCTCAAAAAGAAAAAAAAAAAAAAAAAAAAACAAGTGATGAATGCAAAAGGAAGAAGAAGGGCCACTGTTTCATCTTTGAAGAAGGAAAACCTGGGTCCTGGAGTTGTAGCTGGATGAGGAAACTGCCTATCCCAACCATGTTTTCCCATGGGTTTGGCATTAGCAAGAATTCATTCCAGAACTTAATTAGACATTTCAAAAACTCTTTCTTAAGAAGAAAGAGAAAAAAAGAATATCCCAAGCGTCACACACACACAAATATCCTTCACTCTTAGATGCATTTTGGAAAACCTTCTGAGATAGCTTACAACAATATAAATCTATGAACTCTGCAAGCCAAAAATCACTATATAACCAAAAACGAGTGGGCTCCAAATGATTTTTTTAAGTCGCTCTTTCAAGCAATCTCATACATCCAAATTCAAGATGATTATTTTCTAAAGCAATAAAAAAGGAGGGTGGAATATGAGGGTAAGAGATAAACCTGTCAGTAAACTCCAGGCAGCACCTTTTAAGGGAAAAATTAATTCTTTTAAAAATACAGAAAAATACTAGGATAATACAACAAACATCCATGATCCAATCACTCTCATTGTTGGTTTTTCATTCACCTAATTGCAGTGCAAATTACATACAATAAAATGCACGTTTTAAATTTTTGATAAGTATGCACACCTGTGTAACAGCCTACCTCAATCAAGATACAAAATATTTCTATCATTCCAGAAAGTTATCTCATTTTCCTTTGTGGTCAGCCTACTCCTGGCTCCAGGAAAAAACAGATCTGACTTCAATCACTGTAGATTAATTTTGCATACACTGGAATTTCAATTAAATGGAGTCTACAGCACATACTGTTTTCTGTATGGTTTCCTTCACTCGTATAATGCCTGACTGATCCATCTGTGTTACTGCATGTATCAGAAGTTCCTCTTTTTATTTCTGAGTTGTATTCCCTCATCCAGAGGAAATTGCTATATCCATTAATTTAGTTTGTTTTCAGTGCTTGACTATTACAAATAAAGCCACCATAAATTTAAACAAATTTTTTTTCATTTGTATACATTTATGGAGTACACGCGTAATTTTTTTTTTTTTTTTAGATGGAGTCTCACTCTGTTTCCCAGGCTAGAGAGTGCAGTGGCGCAATCTCAGCTCACTGCAGCCTCCGCCTCCTGGGTTCAAGCAATTCTCCTGCCTCAGCCTCCCGAGTAGCTGGGGCTACAGGCATGCGTCACCATCCCCAACTAAATTTTTTTGTATTTTTAGTAGAGACGGGTTTTCACCATGTTAGCCAGGATGGTCTCCATCTCTTGACCTTGTGATCCACCCGCCTCAGCCTCCCAAAGTGCTGGGATTACAGGTGTAAGCCACCATGCCCAGCCCCGCAATTTTTAACATACACAGATTACATAGTAGTCAAGTCAGGGCATTTAGAGTATTCATCGCCCAGATAACATACATTACACCTACTAAGTAATTTCTCATTTTCCAATCCCCTACCACCTCCTCACCCTTCCAAGTCTCCACTGTCTATCATTCCACTCTCTGTGTCTGCCTTTACACATTGTTTAGCTCCCACTTATGAATGGATGGGATATTTATCTTTGTCTGACTTGTTTCACCTAAGGTAATGGTCTCCAGTTTCATCCATGTTGCTGCAAAAGACATGATTTCATTCGTTTTATGACTGAATAGTATTCCATTGTGGGTATACAAGTCTTTTCTGTGAACATAAGCTTTCATTTATCTTGGGGAATATCCAGGAGAAGAATTGCTAGATCATGGGTTAAATGGATAATTTAAATTTATAATAAACCGTTAAACTGTTTTCCTAAAGAGTTGCACCATTTTACAATACAACTAGGGGGGGGGGGGGGGGGGGGGGGGGGGGGGGGGGGGGGGGACCATCATAAAAAAAAAAAAAAAAAAAAAAAAAAAAAAAAAAAAAAAAAAAAAAAAAAACAACAATATATGAGACATCCAGTTGCTCCAGATCCATGTTGAAGCTTGGTATTGTCAATTTTTTTTTTTTTTTTTTTTTTTTTTGAGACGGAGTCTCACTCTGTCGCCCAGGCTGGAGGGCAGTGGCCGGATCTCAGCTCACTGGAAGCTCCGCCTCCCGGGTTCACGCCATTCTCCTGCCTCAGCCTCCGGAGTAGCTGGGACTACAGGCGCCCGCCACCTCGCCCGGCTATTTTTTGTATTTTTTTTTTTTTAGTAGAGACGGGGTTTCACCGTGTTAGCCCGGATGGTCTCGATCTCCTGACCTCGTGATCTGCCCGTCTTGGCCTCCCAAAGTGCTGGGATTACAGGCTTGAGCCACCGCGCCCGACCGGTATTGTCAATTTTTTTTAATTTGCTATTCTGATGTTTATATATTGATATCTCATTATGTTATTAATTTGCGTTTCCTTCATGACTAATAACACTGACCATCTTTTCATGGGCTTATTGGCTAAATTAATCAGCTTGGGCAGCCATAAGAGAATACCATAGGCTGGATGGCTCAAACAACAGAATTTTATTTTACGTTTTTACAGTTCTGAAGGCTGAATGTCTGGATCAGGGTACTAGCATGGTTGAGATCTGGTGAAGTTTTCTTCCTCGTGTGCAGTTAGCCACTCTCTTGCTGTGTCTTCACATACGAGAGAGAGAGAGAAAAAAGAGTGCTCTCTAATGTCTCCTGTTATAAGGGTTTGTCCCATCAAACCAAGGCCCTACTCTCATGACCTTGCCTAATCCTAATTACCTCCTAAGAGCTCCATCTCCAAATACAGTCACACTGAGGGTTAGGGCTTCGACATATACATTTTTGAAGGACATAGATATTTAGTCCATTACGTTAACCACTCCTATAACCTCTTTTTTGAAGTGTCTATTTTTGTATTGAGTTGTCTGTCATTTTCTTATTGAATTTAAGGGTTATTTATATATTTCGATAAAAGTCCTTCATCAGACATATTATTGCAAATATTTTCTCTTAAGATGTGTATACGATGCATTTTCTTAATAATATATTTTGAAAAGCAGAGGTTTTAGTTTTGATCACATACATGTAATCATTTTTTTCTTTTAAAATTAGTGCTTTTGAGTTATGTCTAAGAAATCTTTGCCCATCCCAATGTTGTGAAGACTTTCTCCCATAGCTCCTTGCAGAAGTTTTATATTTTTAGCTTATATGTTTAGTTTTACATTTTTAGCTTTTGTGTTTAGGTCTAGAATCTAATTTGAGTTAGTTGTTATATATGTCGTGAGATGAGATTTTTTCTTTGAAGATATTCAGTTGTTCCAGAAGACTTTGTTGTAAGATTTATTCTTTCTCCACTAAATTATGTAATCACTTTGTCAAAAATCAATTGACCGTATATGCATGGGCCCATTTCTAGACTCTCTATTCTGTTCAATTGATTGGCATGCCTGCCTTTGCAACAATACTACAATGTCACTTATTGTAACTTCAGCATAAATTTTGAAATCAATAGGGAAAGTTCTACAATTTTGTTCCTTGTCAAGATTCTTTTGGCTGTTCTAGGTCTTTTGCTTTTCCATCCAAATCTTAGTTTTTAAATTTCTAGGAAAGAGCCTGGTGGTATTCTGATTAAAACAGAACAATTTGGGGAATGTATAATAGATATTTTACATTATTGAGTCTTCTAAAACCATAAATGTGGTAATATTACCATTTGTTCAGATCTTTCTTAATTTCTCTCAGCAATGTTTTGTAGATGTTACCTGGAAATACAGTCATCTAAAGATTTGGCTGGGAGCTGGAGAATTTACTTACAGGTAACTTGCTGCATTGTTGGCATGTTAGTGCTGGGGCTGGCAGGAGTCCTTAGATCCTTACCATATGGGCCTTTCCACAGGACTGCTTGAGCATCCTCTTGACATGGCAGCTGGCTTCTACAGCATGAGCAAACCAAGAGGCTACAATGCTTCCTCAGAAGCCACATGTTGTTGCCTCTACAGTATTCTATTGATCACTCAGGCCAGCCTTGTACTGTAAGAAAGGATTGTACAATGATTGGAGTATCAGGAGATTAGGACCACTGAAGACCATCTTGGAGACTGGCTACCATATCAGTCATTATACCCACCCAAAAGCTCCTGTATCTAGCTGGAAGATATAGCTTATCCCAATTTGATGGTGGCAATGTTGAGTTTTCATAGTTAAATCTTGGACTTTGAATTGAGATGAACCTGGGTTTAAATCCTGACCCTGTCCTTTGGGAAATGTAACCTTCCTGAGCCTGTTTTCTTGTTGGCAAAACCCAGATAAGAATGCCTATATCATAGGGTTGCTGTAAGAATTAATTAAATCAATGCATTTGACATAGGGTAAGCACTCAATAAATGATAAATTCTATAATTATTACTTTCTTAAAATTAGATTAAGTTTTACTAGTACCAAACTAGAGATTACTGAAGGAAAAAATATTGGCTGCTTATCAAAAATAAGGGCTTTGGCCTTGGCCAGGAGCCTACCTTAACTGTCAGAGAAGGTGGTTGTATGTGACGTCTCCTGATTCCTACCAAAACTCACATGGCCAAGAGAGCCTGCAAAGAGTTCCTGTTCAGATTGACCATTTCTCTCTGTCTTACTTTGTCCAAGGCTGGTCTCAGGCTGTGGGAGGATACTCTATCAACCCAAGTCAGGTTGAAAAGTCTCAGCTAGAAGGTTAACAACTCAGGAGCAGCCCTCTACACCAGAGGGACCAGAGTTGGTGGCTAAATGCCTGAGCTGCTTTATCCCACAATGGATAATTTTCAGTTGTGTTTTACACAGTGGCCCAGAAGGGTCCAGCAGGACTGAGCCCTAAGGAGTCAGTGTGTTTCTTTGCAACCCTTTATTGGCTTTCTCTATTTACTCTCTCACTTTTCCCACTCCCTCAATACGCTTCCTGGGATCCACTTCTAAATAATCTTCTTACACCAAATTATTATCAGGATCTGTGTTTGTGGCAACCCACACTAAAACACAGGCTGGCCTCAAAAATGCAATGTTTTAGACACATATGAGTGCCCTGAGTGAAAGGTGACTCTCTCCAGAGAAGGAAGTAAAGAAAGGAGAGAGGTGCAATTTATCCCAAACCAAGAACCCAGGTTAGAAATAAAGTTGAGAAATAGTCACTCAAGGTAGTTTTGATGCCCGACCTCTCCACAGTATCACACCCATAGGGTTCAAAAGTATTTGTTCTGGAAATTTCTCAGCCAATGTTCCAAAGCCCTTGGCAAAAACACCTTGCTCAAGGTAGAAGTCACATGAAATAGCAGAGTAATTGCTTTTTCTATGAGAAGCAAGCCACAAGCCACAGCAGAGAGGCCACCATCCCAAACACAACAATTTGGCAATACAGAGGGTTTTCTTTGAAAGGACTGTACAAATACATTTCTCTCACTGGGAACTTCAATAGAAGATAATTATTCTTTTCTGCCTCATAATATATATTAAAAATGTTCACATGTGGCTTTCCAGGGAATTCTGCCAAATATTTTCAGGCACCACATCCAACTTTACTAATTTTATATGGCCTGCTTAGTCTATTATGGAATACCCTTTCATGCAGTATGAATTTGCTAAAGAGGCTAAAATATATTCCCTTATATTAAACACCTAGTTTTTTAAAAGTTTTCAAGACTGGGAACTTACGTTCCTTGTACTTATCTCACGATGAGATAACCACAGAAAATAAATTAAGGCCCTTCTGAAAAATTGTATGTTTTTCTAGACTTTTACTACCATCAAGAAACAAAATAAAATAAGACTATCACCTTCAGGAAATGCAATGCACGCTGACAAGAAGGTTGTTTTCAGATAAACAGTGTATTTCATTACCACCAGGGCATGCAATATCTCAACCACTACGCTTCACAGCCTTTTTCTGTTTTTATGAGTTCATGCCAACAACAAGCAATGAGCACAAAGGCTGTGCGAAATGCCGCATTTGTTGGAGTGTTTGTGTTGGCTTCCTTCAAATCGGCTGATTTCCAAATCTCCTTCTCCACCCCACCTTAGTTATATTTATACTGTTGTGCAGAACAAACTTGGATCCATATTTAAATATGAAATGCTTTGTGGCCATTCGTGCAAATCTCTTTATCGGGGTCTCGCACATTAACGCCCTTCACAATTGACCCACAGGCCAATTGTTTAACATAACGTTTCCACAGGGCTGCTTCCACGGAGACACAGCCTTGTTTTTACTTTTCTTAGCTTTCCTGGACAATCAAAAGGAAGTGGAACAGAGCCGGCTTGCTGAAAGCTGGAGCTGCCCCAGTGTCTCCTCCTACCTTCTGTCTCGGGTTTTGTTTTTCTGCTTCTTTTTCTTTTTCCCATCATTTTTCATGGTAAAGAAGCCGGAGCCAGACTATGTAGCTAGAGTCTCTCAGTCCTTGTGTCTGCTGCTTTCTCCCTCCCTGCTCAAAGTTAATGTGAAGGCTGACTATCACCAGTCTCAGGAAACTAAATTGTGCCAGCCACCTCAATTTTAGCAAAATTGGGTCCTCTGTTGATTCGCAAAGTGTTAAAGTAATACAAAGGGGTGTGTGTATATATGTTGGAGGTGGGAAGTGGGGAGACAGAGCTCTCAATGGGAACTCTCAGCTTAGGAAATGTAAAATTCTTCATTCCTCTTTAACTTAGGGGTTGCTTTAACCTAGAGAAGTCACACTACTTTCTCCCTTTTCCATTTGTTTTCTTTAGAAAAGAAGGGATGCAATGTGTGCAAACTGAAATGGAAAGACTTATGATACCCAAAGCACTTTTTTTAAAAGAACGTTCCCACAGGTGCTATGGTCAGTAATTTAGTCTCTAAATTGCAGCTTTCTCTTCTGTAAGCTGGAGATTGATTTATATTTATGGAGTGCTTACTGTAACTACTAGATACACTAGGCATACATATAACAGACAGTAATGTGCCATCACATATGATGATTGTGAAGACTTTTAATAAGCTATCTCACATACAGCATAGAGCACAGAGCAGTAGTGAGTGAGTATGCAGAAATGTCAATCATCACTCATAATTATCAGCATGAATCATAGTGAGACTTAAGAGATTTAAGGACTGAGACTTCATGTCTCTATTATAGCTAATAAAGTGATTGAGAGCCCAAGTTTTGGAGCCTAGTACACTCTCACTCCAATCTCCATTCCATTTCCACAGATGCAACTTTTAGTAAGTTATTTAAGCTCTTTAAGTCTCAGTGTCCTCATCCGTAAAATGGAGTTAATAAAGCATTCACCTCAAAGTGGAGTTAATAAAGCATTCACCTCAAAGCATTGCTATGAGGGTTGTGCTTATATATGTGTACTTAGCACAGTGTTTTACATATCAATATATGCTGTACAGATCACTATATGGTATTATTAATTATTAATGTTACTTGCTTATTTAATGTATTTTTATTATAAAGACATAAAATTGGCCCAAAGCACAAATGTATACCTACTCCTTCACATACCTTAAAGATACAAATTATTTTCATAATCAGTTGGTTTGATAATAAACATATTCTTCAGTCCTTGGAAATCTTTCAACCAAAGTGTCACCAAGTTATATAGGAATTGAACATGAAGAGAGCCAATCAAGCAGAGAAACTAAGCCTGGGAGAATATTGCATCGTGCGTTAATCAAGGACAGCAATCCTTGCGGTTTTAACAAACAGCCCCACATCATAGTGGCTTAACACAAAGTAGAGTGACTTACTGCCTATGTTATAGTTCAATGCACGTCTGCAGGAAGGACCTGCCTCCACTCATGCAGGTACCTGAGATCACCTGTCCATTGGCTATACTGCCTTTTAGGGCCTCCAAATCTCAAGCTGAATTATTCCCATCCATCCAGTAGAAAAGGAAAAAAGAATGTGGAAGGATCATGCAGAATGTTTCAGGGGTCAGTCCTGGATGTAAAATATGTGACATTGGCTAGAATGCTGTTACACATTGCCACCTATTTCAAGGGATGCTGAGGTTTGGAGTCTTCTTGGGTCCCCAGAGATCTGAGTATCACCTAGCACTGTTTCTGCTTCAGGTGAGTAGAAGGAGCTCACTTTACATCTATCAACCTGATTTAAATAACTAAACAAACAGCTATAAGCTTCAGTGAAAATGCCTTACCCAGACTGAATATTTCATCCTTGCAAAAGGTGCTCCCATAATATATGGTCCAACCTAGAACAGTTTTAAGAGAGAAACAAGGTGTTAAGAGTGGTAATAAATCTAAATGATATTTTGAAATTTTAAACAATTAATTAATGTACTGATTTTTATTTGTTAGTGGAACTATAAAATAGTTCTGGTCAAAACTATTTTTGAAAAATAATATTTTTTAATCAACATAGAATATATCCACCTATATTAAAATTACTTTAAATACAATGTTCATTATATGAACATTAAAAAAAACATAAGCAAAACAGTTTTTCTTGGTATATATTTATATATATTAATTGGGGTTTTTTTAGCCACATGGGTCTCATACCACATTACTGGTATTTTAATATGTCTTCAATATTATTTTATTATTTTTCTTATTTTTATAAAATACCTGAGATCTTTTCAAAATCACATGATTAAAGTATGTGAATTTCTCTATTTTTTTAAAGAAAAAGTATCCCTTGACGTTGGCTGTGATACCTACCAAGTTCACAGTAAGTTTTGCTAAATGAATATTGTACAAGTCTGCCCAACCTTGTATAACAAAATACCACGGATTGGGTATTGTTTCTTATAATTCTAGAGACAAGATCAAGGTGCTAGTGGATTCAGTTTCTCATGAAGGCTCTCTTTCTGGTTTATAGACAGCCGCTTCTTGCTGTGTCTAAAGGGAGAGAGGAAGTGAAAGCTTCCTTGCTTTGGGTCAGAGCTCCACTCTTTTGACCTCATTTAGCTTTCATTACCTCCGAAAAGTTCTGTCTCTAAATAGAGTGACACTGTGGGGTAGAGCTTCAAAATATAAATCTGGGGAACACACAACTCAATCCATAGCAATGCTATTATTCTTTACTAAAATATAAAAATGTTTCAGCCCCAAAATACTTTTTCATGTTCTGACTTTTTGCCTGTCCGCAGAGTGCTTATATTGGGCAAATATTTTACAAGCAAAACTTATCAAAAAATTATTTATGATACTTTTGAATGTTTCGCTAAACATAAACGTCACAGAATCACAGACCTTCTCAATTTTATTTTATTTCAGTATATGGAAGGCAATTTTATTCAGTTAAAAATAGGAGCTCTATCAACAGTTTCTTACCACAAGTTGAGTTTTTCCATAGCATAATTATAGACTTTCAAATGGAAATTGTGCATGCCATTTGAGCTTTCACTGTTTAATATGTATAGTGTGTAGACATAAATTTGAATATCTTCCTGTCTGAAGCTTTGTTGTCAACAATCGCAGGTCCCTAAAAGTTTCAACTGCTGACTTCTTGACACTTCATCCATTGAATACTTTGATTTAAATATTCCCAACTGATTTTGAGCAAGAAACTCGTTTATAAAAATATAGTTTATCTTTGTCAGAATGAACTTCTAAAACCTTTACTTAACTTCCATGAACTAGGTGAGAAAAAAACCATTCAATCCATTAATGGAGCCATCTTAACTAATCTCTTTGAAGCATGCCTTGCGAGCATCATACAGCCTGCCTCGGGACCACGGCATAACTGGCTGGAAACTGAAGGTCCGATAGGGCCAGAGCCTTGAGTTCCTCTCCCACCCCCATATCCAGAAAAAGTTACCCAACAGTAGCTACTCCTGCCTGACTATACTATGCATGCTGCCCTTGAAAGGGCTATGTTGATTTTGATGCATCTGGAAAGAGTTAGGAAGAGAAAAATGGGTCATCTCTGTTTCTTTTCAGATCTGGCCACTTGTTGAAATGAAAACTCTGTTTATTCCATGTGCATCTCACTCACTTTTAGGCAAGGTCATGAGAGACGTGTAAGCACAATGCAGAGGTCTTCCAAGTCTATCCCAGATTATTTTAACACAAATACTGATAATAATTTTTCACTTAAGGGAAAATATCTTGGACAAATGCTAATCTGGATAGATAACAGGACAAAAGATGTAGACCTGAATGTCCCAGACAAACTAGTACATCCAGTTGATATGTTCACTCTACCTTTGTGCCCCTTCCCAGTTAATGCCTTAGAGGTTTCCCCATGAAAGTCAAGTAGTGTGTGTATCTATCATCCGGGTATTCCAAATGGGGTCTTTTTTGCACACAGCATCTGCTATGTCCTGATGAAAACTCAGTTGCTTCACAAGGGCCTTTGCTAATCATTCTCTGTCCTCTTCCTGTGATCTTTTAGATTCCAAGTGGATAGCAGAGGACATTGCTCAAACTGGACAAACTGGCTAAAATTACCCAGAGCCCTCTACTGTGGAAAAAGGGTGAAAAATTCACTTTTGATACTCAAAAAGCAAGGGGGCGCTGGATGCGATGGCAAGAGTGTGGGTGGGGGCCATGGGGGCCCTGAGTGTAGTATCTCAGTTATGCTGCTTTAATCCCCAACTATATTCCTAGTGCACTTTGGGATTCCACTGGCAAAGCCACCATTGATCTGTACACCAAATCTCAGCTTTAAAGACAAGGAGATACACTCCCTGTATGTAATCCCCAAAGCTCAAAACAGCTAGTTTTAGAACAAATTAATAAAATTCAGCTTTCCACCCCAGATGGCAAACCCCACTATTATTTATTTCAAGAGTTAGTTGAGACTGAAAAGATAAACAGGCTGAAGAAAGAGAAATAAAGCAAACAGGCAGTTTTGTTATAGTTTACATCTGCAATTCTATCCCTGAAATATCTCTTCTAGCAGCTTTCCAAGATAGATTATTGTCTGCACTTAATTAAGACATTTCTTTTTTTAAAAGCTGTCACCAGGAAACTAAGACATTACACCAAATCATTCATTTACCTATTCATTCACTCTCAAATGTTTGTTCGACACACATTTGTCAAACACCTTTGGAGACAAATGCTACCTCAGGTTCCATAAAGCCACAGTATTTCCCAGAAGAAAAAAAAAATCTGTTAAGGTTGGGGGGTGTTCCTTAGATACAGCCGTGGGGATATTCACAATATTTAACAATCATTGCAGCATGGGCTCCAGTCAATCAGAATGACAGTCCTGTCACACAACCAATAAGGAAGGATAAAGCTTATGGATACAATGTGGCCACTGAAAAGACCCTGGAGCAAACCTAATTGCTGAGAATGGTAAAGACAGATCTTAGTGACTAATGCTTCTAAATGCTGTGAAAGCAAAAGTAGGTTGAGCCTTAGTGTAAAAGTTATCCTGCCTTATTTTCAGAAAAACTGTCTAGAACAGACCCATCTCCCTTCATTTCCTTGTGTCAATTCGAGGTGAAAACTTGAGAAGTTAGTGGATGCCACTTATATATAAACATGGTATGTGTCCCTTCCTTTTATAATCTCTAATTCTCACGACTTTGTCAGTAAATATTACTTTACCCGCCAAGGAGATGAGAAAGTAGCCCTAAGAGTTTCTGTGTTTTGCTGAGGTCTCACATCTAGATAATGATGGTGGGTTTCAAAACCAGATCTACCTACCTCACTCAGAACATCTCCCCCTTCATTCTAATTTCCTTTTGGGATCTAATTTCTCCCACATTTAGCTCACTCTTAGGAGGAGTATGAAACTGGTCAGCCCGCCCCTACTCAAGGAGTAAACCTATGATCCAAGCAAGGTTTGATGAATTGCAAAAATGGCCACCATTCTTCTCCACCACAACCCCACATCTATTCCACTTTGCAATATGAATCTGGCAGCTCCTCTCATCAAGAGGTGGGGTTCCCACTCTTTAAATCTGGGCTGGCCTTGTATTTTGCTTTTGCCGAAAGAATATAGCAGAAGTAACATTGTGAAGGTTCTGAGCATGGGCCTCATGAGACCTTGCACACTTCTACACCTCTCTTGGATCCCTGCCCACTTGTTGTGTGAACAAGCCCTTGCTCACCTCATGGAAGCTGAGAGACCACATGGAGCAAAAACAAACCATCCAGATGGGCCATTTTAGACGGACCAGCCGTCACTGACCTGGTAGGGGATGGTAGATGCATGAGTGAGCCTGGTTTGGTCTGGCCCAGAACTGTAGAAAACTTCAGCTAAAACATGGCACAAGTATACATATGTAACAAACCTGCACGTTATGCACATGTACCCTACAACTTAAAGTATAATAATAATAAAAAAAAAAAAAAAAAAAAAAAAAATTTAAAAAAAAAAAAAAAAAAAAAAGAAAACTTCAGCTAAGTCCAGCCCAAATTTTCAACCTACAAAACGATGAGCTATGAAAAGGTAGTGGTATTAAGCCACAAAGTTTTTTTTTACATAGCAATATTTAACCAAAAGTTAAGAATAGAAAATACTTATGATAAATCTCAGAGGCAGCCCATGACAAGATTTTTAAGTACCTCTTCTTTCCTGGATTTCTGGATCTTCCCTAATTCTTGCCCTCTCTGAGCCTGGTTCTCTAACAGCATCTTTCATACCATGAGCCACTTGTGTCCTCACAACAAATTCCTTTGTCTTGAGTTTGTCAGAATTTCTGTCAACCCAAAAAACTCTAACTAATCTTAAAGACTTTGGTGTAAACTCTACATTTTGCTGCTGAAAAACTGACTAGACAACCTCACATAGAGAACAGGATCACCATCATCAAACAAGGCCATCACCCTAGTCATGACATAAACCAATCCAGTATTAATAAAGTAAGACTAGCTGCTATGAAAAGCAATCCCTAAATCTCAGGGGCTTAACATGATAATGCTTTAATTACCATGCCTGTCACTGGCTAGTAATGGACTTTTCTGGTGGAGTAGGCTTCCATGTGATCATCCAGGGTCTTGGGCACCTTCCGATTGTGAGTCTGTCCTCTCCTAGGTCTTAAGGGCCCTCATGATTCAGCCAGACGGGAAAGGAGATGGCACATGAGAGGGTTTTATAAGCCAGTCCTAGAAGTACCACCCATCACTTTTGCACACCTTGCATTGCACAGACCTCAGGCACATTACCACATCAAGCTATCAGAGAAATACTGTTGTCTAGTAATATAAACCCAAGGATGAAGTAAGAGCAAAAATAGGGTCAGATCTTTCCCACGGAGTCTTAACTGATTTTATTATACAGAATCATATT